GGACTTGATGACATACCAGTGGAGGTTTGGAAATGTCTTGGAGAGATGGCAGTGAGGTTTTTGACTCAAATATTCAATGGCATATTTGAGGTTGAGAAAAGGCCGGGGAATGTAAGAGAAGTGTGCTGGTGCCCATTTTTAAGAACAAGGGTGATGTACAGAGTTGTAGAAACTACAGGGAAATTAAGTTGATGAGTCACACAATGCAGAGATGGGAGAGAATTGTGGAAGCTAAGATTTAGACGAGAGGTGACTATTTTTGAGCAGCAGTATGGTTTCATGCCAAGAAAGAGCACTACAGATGCCATATTTTCTTTAAGCATGCTGATGGAGAAATACAGAGAGGGTCAGAAAGAACTCCATTGTGTCTTTGTGGATTTAGAAAACGCATATGACAGGGTGCCTAGGGAGGAGGTGTGGTATGAGGAAATCTGGAATGGCGGAGAAGTATGTTAGACTGATACAGGACATGTATGAGGACAGCAGGGCAGTGTTGAGACATGCTGTATGGGTGACAGATAGCTTCAATGTGGAGGTGGGAGTGCATCAAGGATCGGCTCTGAGCCCTTCTTGTTTGATCTGATGATGGACTGACTAACAGATTAGGTCAGGCAGGAATCCCCGTGGACTATGATGTTTGCAGATGACAATCTGGTGAGAACAAGGAACAGGTGGAAGAGAACTTCAAGAGGTGGAGGTATGCACATGAAAGAAGAGGAATGAAAGTCAGTCGTAGCAAAACATAGTACATGTGTGTGAATGAGAGGGAGGACGGTGAAACAGTGAGGCTACAAGGAGCAGAGGTCACAAAGGTACTTCGACTACTTGAAGTCCACTGTCCAGGAAAATGGAGAATGTGGTAAAGTGGTGAAAAAGAGAGTCCAGGCGAGATGGAGTGGATGGAGAAAAGTTTCAGGAGTGATTTATGACAAAAAAAGGGTATCAGCAAAGGTCAAAGGAAACATTTAAAAGACAGTGGTGAGACCACCTATGTTGTATGGGCTGGAAACAGTGGCAGTCACAAAAAGTCAGGAGACAGAACTGGAAATAGCAGAAATGAATATGTTGAGGTTCTCCTTAGGGGTGACAAGGATGGATAAGATTAGGAATGAGATCATCAGAGGTACAGCACAGGTTGAACAACTGGGAGATAAAGTTAGAGGACAGACTGAGATGGTTCGAACATGTCCAGAGGAGGGACAGTGGGTATATTGGTAGAAGGATATTAGAAATGCAGCTGCCAGGAAAAAGACAGAGGAGATGTATGGATGCAGTTAGCAAATACATGGAGGTAGGTGGAGTGAGGACAGAGTACTCAGAGGACAGAGTGAGATGGAGGAGGATGACTCGCTGTGGAGACCTCTGAAGAGGGAAACGCCAGAAGAAGGAGAAGGAGGAGGAGGAGATCATTTAAAGTTTTCATTCAGTCAAATAAGCAGTTTCAACTGCACCAGTAGAACAATGAAACAGACTGTATTTTTTCAGCATTTTGTGGCTTTTTATGAGGAAATATGCAACAGATATTAACAGTGATTTTATTATAAACTCTTCAATAGTGAACAGCTTAGAGTCAACTCAAACAGGTGAAGGTGCATCTGACTGCACAATAGCTGAGCTACAACTCCAAGAAATACTATCAGCTGTGTGGTATGTAGGGACATCTAGTGGAGAAGTTGAAGCTAGTTAAATAACTTCAGGGTTTGCATATGATCCTTCAGTAAAGGGCCCTTGTTATTGATATTTTGCACTTCTGCCATTAGGTCATTTTAGTTAAGACCTTGTCATTGAATCAAAGTTGTCTCAGCTAGTCAACATCAGTCAACATTATGTCACATTGAGGTGGAAAATGAGTGTTTGATTGAAGCAGAGTTTAATTTAAGGAATGTAGATGTTCTCTGCGAGGAAAGAGGACTGTTTTTATTTATGATTCTTATGTTAGACACACTGTTTGAACATATATACACTACAGCACATATGTCAGAGTCAAGGCTCGCGGGCCACATCCGGCCCGCGAGAAGGTTTTTTACGGCCCCTGGGATGATCTTGATTTATTATTAGAACCAGACCGCAGCAAGCCGGTCTTGTGCGAAATTCTGTTCCCCTGTGAAAATCTGTTCCCCCTGTGTCAGGAGCGCGCACTGCAACCAGAGAGGCGGGTCCGACCGTCTTCACGGCTCATCTGATAAATTTCTCGGTAAAACGAGTCCACGTAATCGTGTCACGGTTGTAGCTTTCATTTTAATGGACAGCTCCTGGTAAATAAATAAATGAAAACCTCAACAACAACAAAAAAACTGGTCTTGTTTTTTTTTTTGTTTGTTTTTTATCGCCGAGAGAATCTTTGGTCATGTTCATTTTAGCCTGACAAATATGAGTCAGCCACCAACACATCATGCATATTTATAATTTTTTCTTGCTAATGTAGAAGGATGGAAGCTGGTGAGAGCAGGACACGAAAAATTAAACTTCCTGAAAACAAATATAGGCTTTCTGGTAAATGGTTAATAGATTTTTGCACTTTATTTTATTGTATTTCAATCCAATTATATTTTAAAAATATTTCAGTTGAGTGGATGATAGAAAATTGCTTTTTTTTTCTTCTTTGAAGTAAATTTAGCCCACTTTTGCTAAAATAGAAAATATAGGCTACTGATGGTGCCTTGAATAATACAGGTTTCTTTCATTTAATGTTCATGTTATGGGGGTTTTTATATAAAGGAAATTTGTCTTTTGTGTCTGTTGAAAATTAAAGATTACTGACAGAGCCATAAGAAAATATTGCTTTATTTATCTGATCATATTGGAATATATTTGTTAGGTTTTCAGTAGGTTCAATTAGATTCACTAGACTATATGCGTCATTTAAAAAAATTTCAATGAACATTCGATCAGTCCGGCCCTCGGCTTGTAGCTAAATTTTTTATTTGGCCCTCCGTCCATTTGACTTTGACACCCCTGCACTACAGTGTTCACATTCACACAATGACCCTTTCTTTAACCCCACTGTGAAAAATCTAATTTTTGTTTTGTGTATTTTCTATAAGTTGCTGAAAAATAATGAAGTAAATAATATATTAAATGCAGACAGTTAATCATGCTGTGAAAGAGGTTAAGATGATGAATTAATGTAAAGTCTGTAAGACTTAACGCATACAGTGTTTTAGTTAACTGATTTGACTATGTATAACATCATTCTTAGTGTTTCTGATAAGCCTGTACTGTAATCTGAAGAATGTGTTGTTTGAGTTTTCCTTCGGTCAGCGGTTTGTCCTCCTTTGATTATATCTGAAGAGTTGCTGCAGTGATTAATATGATTCGGTGTTTTGGAGCAGCTGAAGTCACTCTATGGCAGGCTTGTGTTTTTAATCATTCTACCATTTTTTTTTACTTTACAAAGTTAAGTTTCAAAGCTTTTAGATTTGCACATTTAATCCCGCTCATCCTGCATGGAAACGTCCAGAATCCAATTTGTGCTGCAGAGAGTTGGCGTTTAGTGAGATTTGCACAAGGTTGGGAATCTGCCCGGTCCTGGTGCTCAGAGGAGAGCGGTGTGTTTATATACATCCACACAGACAGCATGGGTGATGGTCGTGTCACCGCTGGTTGTCATGTTGCTCTGTGAGCTGCCAAAACAGAGTCACACTGCAGCACGTTGCTGTTTTATCATGTAGTTTCCAGAACCACATTTAGCTTGATCAAGACAGAAAATAAATGGCTGTTCCTAATATTTCAACATGTTTCTAAATTAGTGTTTTAAATAACTTCTGCTGCCTTCAACTGTATCAGTAAATCTCATATGCATCAGTCTGTTTATTTTATTTGGAAGTGAACACGCATCTTGCAGTTGTTGTCAACTTTTGTTGTCTTTAAATATAAATTAATTTGACCTTAGGGTCATAAATCCTATATTTTAAACTCTCTATTGTGTTTTGGTTTTTAGTGATGATGGTTGTTTGAAGGTTAAACAAATACAGTAGTGTATTATGACTAACCTGAAGTCACCTAAATTACCTCTGTTGTTGTTACTTTTATTTAATCTCATTACGCAAATGATCCCCAAATTAAAACACTGCATCCCATCAGCATGAATCCTCTGCAGTAACACATTCACTGTAACTCAGGCATTGTTGTTGTTGCAAACTAAACACACTGTTTTGCAGTGAAAGTGGATATGATACAACTTCTGCTGAAAATATTTACTTAATTTTTCCTCCAAAGTATGGCTGTAGATCCATCCATCCATCCATTTATTTTTACTCTCTGTTTTGTGCTATTTTTGTGAATGTAATCTGAACAATTCTCCCAAACAAACCCTGCATTAAAGTGAAAAAAGTGTGTATACAAAATAAAAAGACCCTCTTTTATTTAACAGAATGCAAACTATAATCTGCAGCGATAAGCTGGCGCTGCTGACAGATAAAGTGCATCATTGTCTGAAAAAGTTCACATGGTAAAAAATATATTTAGGCTTTTTTTCTGTGGTAAAGGGAAATACTTTTGAATATCTAGTTTAACTACCAAACCTGCAGGGCTTGTGTGTGTGTGTGGGATTGATGTAAAGTGAGCAGGTATTGCATCCTATCAGGAAATACACTTACAACATTAAAACTGATATGTGCATGTAAGAATCAAAACTGTTGTTTTCCCATCCTCAGATTAATCAATACTTTAATGAAAACTGGCAGCAGTCATGGCTGTTCTAAGTTTCTACATGTCATGTACCAAATATGAATCCTGGACTATCTTTAGTCGTTGGAAAAGGCTTTCCAAACATTTACAGTTGATTTTTAGCAATAAAGCAAACCCTAACCTGTTCCAGTCCATCAGAATGAGTAACCAGTCTGTAGTTTACATTTGTATAAAATGTCAAATCCAGCAGGAGACGTGCAGAAATATTACATCCTTTCTGCCTCAGTCTGTTCTACTTATGCTCCTCCTGTGCTGTTTTCGCTCGCTGTGACCAATCGTCTCTCTGCTTGTGCTTCCTTTCTTGTTACCAGGGAGACAGAGGAACCGTCTGGAGCCAATGGACACTATTTTTGTCAAGCAAGTGAAGGAGGGAGGCCCCGCCCATGGAGCTGGACTCTGTACAGGTACACAAACACACAAACTCAGACCTGGTGATGCCTACACACAGTCTCAGTGGGGGGTACATGGGTTGTTTGTCATAACTGACTCTGTCCCACATGTGGCCACAGACGATCTCCGTTCACCTCTTTACTGTCCGTAATTCCACTTCAGTGCGAACTGCCAGGAAAAACAAATAAGTTTTACAAGATACCAGCTCCTTTATGGACGACTGAACAGGCTGTTACTCCTGCCTTTCATCAGGCCTGTTTTCATACATCTTGATTTTCTTTTTTTATCTTAATTAAACATGAATCATTTCTAATATGAAGCAGCGGGGATAAAAATAGATTTAAAACCTCCCTTCTAGTGAGACGGTAAATCAGCAACTTAGTTTTCCTGAAATGAAGGTGATGGCTGAAGCTCTGTTCTGGCAAGTCTGTGCCCTGTGTTACAGGAAGTTTTACAGTAAGTGGTCTAAATAAGCCCTCAGAGCTGTTCCCTTAATCTGTGCGCCCTTCTCTGTTCTCCTGGGAGAGGGCAGCTCAGCTCTCTCTCACATTTATCCACTAAACTCACTTCATTTCGCTCCTGTGAAATGACCATCTTCAAAAAAAACTGAACAGAGTTGGATTTTGATGTGCTGTCAAAGAAACGTGAGAATTATTTGAGTTGAATAAAAGTAGCACATGTTTGTAGTGGAAGGAGTCACTTGGCAGGACAGGAGTTATATCTGTTAGTAATTTTTTCCTTTAATCTGTCCAGGGGATCGGATTGTGAAAGTGAACGGAGAGAGCATCATCGGGAAGACTTACTCACAAGTCATAGCCTTGATCCAGAACAGGTAGGAGGGCTTATTTTACGGAAACTGTTCAGCATGTGAAAGAGTCCCATGGACTTTACATCATGAAAAAATGAGCTTCCACTTGAAACACAGCTCACAAAAAGTCAACAAAACAGGCTCAAGTTGGGTGGCTGATAAACGTGCATTTCAGTGGGCATGGGATGGATTTATGGGCACATATAATTAAAAATCCTTTGGCACACACTCCAGTGTCACCCATCATTGTGTTTCTTTTAAATATTATAAAAAAAAATTAATTGGGTATAAATAAAATTCATATACCGTATTTTCCACCGTAAACGTCGCTCCACCCTATAAGTCGCATCAGTCCGAATATGTCTAATAAAGTGGAAAAATCCATAAATACGTCGCTTCGCCATATGCGTCACATCTATTCTGCGTCACCGCTGTCGCGTCACATTTGTTATGTGTCACCTCTGACAAACCGGAAATGTGGGTCGGTGTTGTGCCACAAATCGATTGGCTACCAAATTGGCGGCCCCGGGAGCATGCACAGGAGGACTTTAACAAGAATTTAACAAGATTAACACTTAAAAACAATTATTTGTTTGCTTGAAATTATAGTAAAGGTGTGTCTCACTCTTACTTTTATGTAATAAATGCACTTTGACAGTCAAATCGGCTGTATTTCAAAAGCCGATACGTGGGAGTAGGAACGCGCAGAGGGACAATTTGCTGTGTGGTTCTTCAAAATTTAACAAGATAAGCACCTAAAACAAGTATTTGTTTGCTCGACATTATAGCAAAGGTGTGTCTCAGGTGAACTTTTACTTAATAAATTCACTTTAATAGTCAAATAAGCGGCATTTTGCCGGGGCGGTGCAGCGAAATGAAGCTAGTTTGACAGATGCTCCAAGCAGTGAGTAGAACAAAGGTGGCAGGGTATGGCAAGCCGATTGTGTCATTAATAACTGGTGAAGATTCTCAGTCATCCAGGACATGTTAAATTTGAAAAAGTTAAAGACAAAAACAATAAAGTATAAAGTCTAATAAATAAAGTCCAGTTGTTTTTGTCTTGAACTTATTTGAATTTGTCATTATAGCCATGTTTACCTATTCTATGATACAACAGCATGCCTTACAACTCTGCTTCCATCTAACGGCTGAAAAACGGTAGTGTTCAAAATTTTCAGTCAGAATGAATGAAAACGGTCATAACTCAGCCAAAAATATGTTTATAAATATGGGAAAAAATCCATAGATATGTCGCTTCGGCGTATAAGTCGCAGAGCATGTAAATTATACAAAAAACACGACTTATATAGTGAAAAATATGGTAGCTGAATCAAATAAAATGTTTCTGTGTTCTTGAAGACCAAAGCAGTATCATTTATTTGGTAAAATCTGTTTCCTTGTGTGTTTTCTGATTATCTGTCAGTGATGCTTCGTTGGAACTCTGTGTGATGCCCAAAGATGAGGACATTTTGCAGCTGGTAAGCAGCCTCTATCCCTATAAAGTATATTTAAGTGTTCTCAAAAGATGTTGTTGAAGAATTTACATTTTCAATCTTAGTGCAAAGTTTGGGTTGTTACCAGCTGCTGCCATGAAAGACAAATGATGCTGTTACTGCCTGAGTCTGCATTTTTATCCAATAGCTAAAACTGTCTCATGAACCACAGTAATCATTGGATGTATGTCTACAACTGATTAATGTTCAGAGTCAACACGATTCAAAATGGCTGCAACAACTAATTAAACTTAGCAAACAAAAAAAGGCTATAATTCAGTTATTTTTACTGATGTTGAGGTGAAGCTTGGTGTGGTAGTAACTGAGAGTCATACCTATAACGTACTATGAGCACGAACAAATTGTGAAGCATTAGTTTACAACTTTAGTTTTATTAAATTTGATTGATTCAGGGCTGCTAATGGTTGAGCAGCATCTTCTAGCAGGCTAAGATATGGAGCTAAAGTGTTATCAAAGTTATAAACCTCACAATGGTAAAATAAAAACTTGTTGTTGAGAATGTAGGAGCCAAGACTCTACGATCTACACTCATCTCCAGGCCAGTGGTAGGCCTGTCACAATAACAAATTTTGCTGGACGATTAACTGTCTCAAAAAATATTGCGATAAACGATAATATTGTTTGAATAAGTGTTGAACTTATTTTGAGTTTAGTACCTTTTTAGCTGCTTTTAACCATCCAAAAACATGATTTTGGATGGTTAAAACAGATTTTAAAGAGAAAAAGAGGGGTCAGTGAAGAGCACCAGAGATGAGCCTTTTGTCATCCAGTGTCTTCAGTAGAAAGAGAGAGACGCAAAGAAACGATAAAGCCAATAAATGGAAATGAAGTTGATCATTTTCATTTATCATGTGATTAATTGATTTATTATTTATCACAACAGGCCTAGCCAGCGGTCACTCATTCAGGGATGAAGATGTTCACATCCTGGATAGAGAGGAACGATGGTTTGAGAGAGGAGTAAAGGAGGCCATCTTTGTGAAAAGAAACATCATTAAACGGGTGGAGGCCTCCGTGTTCAACTGTCCCCCTCTTGCAATGCTGTTATTGCTAGTATCACTCAGCCTCCTGTGAATAGCAAACAGCCATCAGTGTGCTAATGATCCATCGTTAGGCTGATGGCCCTTCTTGATCATGTGAGCAGCTGGTTTTGGTTGTCAGCAGCAAACTGGTTGATCCACTCTGAGAAGGTGCTATTTATAAGACTGAGCTGAATACAGCACCTCAGACTGAGGAAGTCTTTCGGATGAAAGATGAAACGTTTCTACAGTTTTTTTAACCCATTCAGAGGACCAGACAACTTTTTTTAGATTTTTCTACCTGGATTATTGAGCATGCCTTCAGGCTATTTCCTGCAACTAACACCATGAATCAGCACTTCACAAGTTACATAACAAACATCATCGTTTTAGCTTTCAAGGTGTGAGGAGAACTGTGTGTGACTCAGTAACCCTGTGTATAATAGAACTAGACCGTTCCCATTTATATATTTTTTGCACTTTTGAGATGAACACCACAAAATTATCACTTAAGGTTCTTGGTTGATACCATTCTTATTTGTTCTTGTAAAAAAGAAGAGAACAAAATATCCTGATGCATGCTCAATAATCCAGGTAGAAAAATCTAACAAAGTTGCCGGTAAATCAGGTCCTCTGGACAAATTAAAAAAAAAAAAATGTTGAAACGTTTCATCTTTATTCCAAAAGATTTTGTCAGTCTGAGGAGCTGCAATAAACAGTCTTATAAGCAGCAACTTCTCATCGTGGATCAACCAGTTTGTTGTTGACATTCAAAACTAGTTGTTCACATGATAAAGGAGGACCATCAGCCTAACAACCGATCATAAGTGCCCTTATGGCTGTTTGCTATTCACAGAGGGCTGAGTGATTTTAGCAATAACATCATTGTAGGAGGGGGACAAGTGGGCATGGAGGCCTCCGCCCCTGTTTAATGGACGGTTTCTCTTCACAAAGATGGCCTCCTTTACTCCTCAAACAAAAAGGGAACATAATCATCTTTTAAATGTGGCTTTAACTGAGCTTGTAAATTAATTTACATGAATCATAATAAGGCAGCACGGTGGTGCAACTGGTAGAGCTGCTGCCTCTCAGCGAGCAGGTCCTTGGTTCAAACCCCGGTCCAGGGGCCTTTCTGGGTGGAGTTTGCATGTTCTCTCCGTGCATGCGTGGGTTTTCTCCGGGTGCTCCTGTTTCCTCCCACAGACCAAAATCATGCATGTTAGGCTGATTGGTAACTCTAAATTGTCCCTAGGTGTGAGTGAGAGAGTGAATGGTTGTTTGTCTCGTTTTTCTCTATGTGGCCCTGTGATGGACTTGCGACCCGTCCAGGGTGTACCCCGCCCCTCGCACAATGATTGCTGGACATGGGCACCAGCGACCCCCGTGACCCAAAATGGAATAAGCAGGTAAAGAAAATGGATGGATGGATGGATGAATCATAATAAGCTCATAAGATCAGATTTGGATCAAAAGCTAGTGTTGTAGATGATATTTCAAAACAATCGATACAGTCATAATATGCAGTCATGGAGAAGAAGAGCTAATCTAGACTTTATGCTGATCAGACTGGTGACACAAACCACCAGGTCGCATCAGTCCAGAGCCCCACAAACAAAAAAGTAGCACCAAACCAATTTAAACCAGTTGCTGCTTGTATTTGAGGAGTCAGATCAAATCAAGATGCTGAATTCCTCACATAGCTCGGCCACAGCACTCTGAAAAGTACAGACTGTTGTTCTATGGATTGAGTCTGAGCACCCCAGGCTGCAGGATTCAAACCAAGCAGTTAGTTATTCAATCTAAAATAATGTAACGTGCTTTTCTGCTTTGAGACACTCGGCTCACTCACTACCAAAGGGACTGCAGCTGCAGTCAGCTGACTCCTCTCAGTACGCTGTTTACTGAACAGAAGCCAGTGCGGCTCAAGCAAACATGCAGATATGCTCAACCAAAAGAGAACATATGATAAGCAGTATGCAAACAATGAGAGAGATGCTGGCAGGGATGAGGATGAGGTTGGTGTGGAGAGAGTTTCAACATGAGTGAAACGCTCACAGAGCCTGCGAGGACGAGAGGACGTATGTCAAAATGAGCAGGTGAGAGTGCCAGAATGAAGAAATGCGGAGAATGTGGCGTGATAGAGAGCCAACAAACTAGATGTGACTACGTTCTGACAGCCGAGTGTTGGTGGTGGTAAAATAATGGTGTAATGGAGAACACTAACTGATCACTTTGATCTTTCTGACTTAATATTCTGTTTCCTTTGCTGTCATGCCTTCCTACCTCAGCATGTGGTTTTAGCAAAGATGCACAAGTTCCAGTTTTAAGCTCCCATTCTGATTTCTCATTTTTGCAACATTCTGACCTGCCATTTTTGAGTTTACGTGATTCCAATATCTGTAATATTGTTTTTTTTTGTTTGTTTTTTTGTAATTTATCAAGGTTCAAGGTGACTTTATTGTCATTCGCATCACATGTGGTACATGAGGTGGAACAAAATTGTGCACTCAAGGTCCCAGTTACACCCGAAAATATCAATAATGTAAACTATCCAAAAGAAACTGTATACGAGGATCTAAGATATAAGCTAAACAATTCATTCAACCTTTATTTAAACAGATAAGTCACATTGAGCCTCAAAGACACTGTGAGGAGGAGCTTTCCAACCACCTTGGACCTTTACACTTCACGATGCAGGGGGAGGGCGCTCCGCATCCTGAAGGACTCCACTAATCCTGCACACAGTCTGTTCCAGCTCCTCCCCTCAAGCAGGCGGTTGAGGAGCATTCAGAGCAAGACCACCAGGCTCAGAAACA